AGCAATACGAGCGTCAGGTACGGTCGTCCATTTGTGGGCGGGCGGGCGTGGTGGGCGCTCGGGTCGTAATGTTGTAGCTCGATATGGCCCTTCTAAGGGTGCCTCCCTCAGAAAAGGCGCTACGCAGCACCTGCTTAGGGTCGCGGAATCCTGTCCTGCCAGGCGGTATCAGTCCTACTCTTCTTCGAGATTTATCGTGCCAACTGCCTTTGAATAGCGTCTTAAAGCAGGCCCTTCTAAAGACTCACAGAACAGGCCGAACGCACGCGCTGCAGTGGCGCGATGTGTGTTAAAGACAATTCCCGCAATCTAGGGTTACGGGTGCTAGGTGCTCGTTCATGACCACTAGCCCATAAGTAACTCTCCAGTAGTGAAAGAAGTGGAAACAACCTTGGGAACACTGAATAGAGCTTAGCAGCCCCTCGGGGCCGGCGCCTTGGACGAGTTTGTCGGGCGTCGGCAAGCCCAATCAGCAGGATTCGACGTGCAACCAATTCCCGGCAAGAGCACAGGAAATCACCCTACGACGCTCCAGGCAACGCTATGTACACGCGCAATTCCGCTTGTAAGCCGTTGTCTTGCAGAGTGAAAGTAATCGTGGTTGCAATGGTTGCAATAATCACGCGTCTCTAGCTTCTTTATCTCGCCGTTTCGAGTGACGAAAGTGGTATATTCTCTGCGAATGCGGACAACGATGCCAAATGCACGGAGGCATTTCGCGGACCACTTGATCGCGGAAACTGTCTTTAACTCCCACAATAGATAGTTCCCGCAGAGACCTACAAATGTAAAAATCTGATTTCCTGTCGATAATTATGAACAATAAAGTGCAGATATTTCTCTGATTAAATCTTGTAAGTAATTACTGCTTTTAATACTTTTCACAGTTTCAGCTGGATCAGTGTGTAATACTGACGACGGGCCACGATTATGTGCCCAATTTCGACTATCCGATGATCGGCAACTATCAAATGCAAACCGAACAACATGAAGCTCAACAGTCGACTCACGACTCTAATGACGAGAAGATTGTCCCTTATGAACAGTGGTAGAGCTGTTCGCATCGAATAGACCCCCCCCCTCCTCACTCCCTCATCCTCGCCATTTCCCAAAACAGTGCCCATTATGCCCTAGCCCTTGTCAATCTCAGTGTCATGCTTACGTTATGTTCCTGTGTTTTATCTGTCGTTATGTTTCGCCATTCATTTTTATTCCGCTCACACTCCATGTTTCACAGCCGTTGGAAGGGTACAGCTAGTCCATTAAAAATGCTCATATTGAGAGTTATTACCATGCCCCGCCCTCAGCTGTGACTGCTCACAGTATTGTTTTACTCCCCCGCATACTGTCTGTGGGGTGAACCCTCGCGGAGACTCCCACATCCCGTTAATTATTTATATATGTATAATATCCATACAGTGCTTCATTCAGTGTCATTTTGATCTTCTCTCAGCCATGAGTTCCGCCATA